TTTTTGAGACAGGGTCTCCCTGTAGCCCCAGCTGTCCTGGAACTCACTATGTAGACCAGGCTGGCCTTGAATTCACAGAGATCTGCCTCCCAAATGCTGGAATTACAGGTGTGTGCTGCCACCCCCCCCACTATCCCCAGCCTTTTAAAAAAGATTGTGTGTGTATATGGCCATGCATGTGATGTGTGTGGATGTCAAGAGGACAACTTTTGGTAGTTGGTTCTCATTCTATCATTGTTCTGATGATTAAACTCAAGTTTTCAGGCTTTTGTTGGCAAGTGCTCTTACTGCCTGAGCCAGTTGCTGGCACTCCAGTTCTGTGTTTTGTTATTTTATGTGTATGAGTGTATTCCCTCCATGTATGTAAATGCACTCGTGCAATGCCCAAGAAGGTCAGAAGGGGGCATCTGATTCCCTCGAACTGGAGTTACAGACAGTTGTTAGCCACCATGTAGGTTCTGAGAATCAAACCTGGGTCCTCTGCAAGAGCAGCCAGTGGTCTTAACCTCTGAGCCATCTCTAACTCTCCCACCTTACACTTTTTTTGATACAGTGTTTTACTATGTAGCCCATTGTGTTAACAGGCAAGCACCACTGTGCCCAGCCAGAAGGCCATTTGTTTTGGTGTTTTCTAGATACGGTTTCACTATGTAGACCAAGCTGGCCTTAGACTCACAGAGCCTCCTACCTATTTCCCAAGTGCTGGGATTAAAGGCTTGTTCCATTATGCCCGACTACTACCTAACCCTTTTTTAATATCTCGAGACAAGGTCTTAATAAATTGCCCTGGCTGGCCTTGAAGGTATTGGTCTCCTGAGTGAGCTTCTAGAGTAGCCTGGAGGATAGCTTTATATCATATCCAGTTCAGAAAGATGGGGGGGGGGGGCAGGGAGGGGTGAGAGGATCCTGCGGTCTGGAACTTAATATATGGTTTAGGCTGACCTTGATCTTGCAGAGATCTGCCTACCTCTGCTTCCCAAGTGCTGGTGTCAAAGGTGTCTATCACCACCATGCCCAGTCAGATGGTTTTTGATTGATTTATTTTAATATTTTAATTTTATGTGTATTTGTGTATTGCCTGCATGTATGTAAGCGCACCTGTGTCCTGCAGTGCACTACGGAAGAGGCCATTGGGTCCCCTGGAACTGGACAGTTGCTAGCTGCCATGTGGGTGCTAGGATTCAAACTCAGGTCTTCTGCAAGAACAGCCCATGTTCTTAACTGCCAAGCCATCTCTCCGTCCCTATTTATTTATGTTTTGAGACAGGGTCTCCCTGTAGTCCCAGCTGGCCTGGAACTCACTATGTAGACCAGGCTGGCCTCAAACTCAGAGATCTGCCTGCCTCCCCAGCTCTGGGATTAAAGGTATGTGCCACCACACCAGGCTAATGATTTTTTTTTTAATTATGTATGTGTACTTGAGTACAGATGCCCTCAGAGATCAGGAGGTACTGGATTTCCTGGAGCTGGAGTTATAGGTGATTGTGAGCTGCTCTATATAGGTGCTGGGAACTGAACTCCAGTCCTCTGGAAGAGCAGCAGCTGCTCTCAACTGTTGAACCATTCTTCAGCCCTCCAGAAAGACATTCTTGTTTTGTACCTTTGGCTGGCCTTGAACTCAAAAGAGACCTGCCTGTGTCTGCCTCCCCAGTGTTGGGAGTAAAGGTGAGTGCCACCACACCCAGTAGAAAGACATTCTTGAAAAGGAAGTTGTGACCAGCAGGACAACACATACCCAAGCACAACTGAGCAGATGGAAGAACTGGAGTTTGAGGCCATCCTTGGTTATGTGAGACTCTCAAACCAAAAAAGGTATACTTGTACTTGAGGCTGAAGCAGGATTACTGTAGGTTCCAGGACAGCATGAGCTTCACAGGAGGACCCTGTTTTAATCATCCTTTTCCCTTGTCACACACCCCAAAAGAACAGGCAGAGTAGCCCAGGCCAGAAATCTCAGTACTCATATGCTTAGCAGGAAGATGAGAAATGGGAGTCCAGTGCAAACTTCATACCTAGAATCTGCCTCCAACAAAAAATGAGGTAGGTGGCGGAGGTGTGGTGACACATGCCTTTAATCTCAGCACTTGAGAGGCAAAGGCAGGCGAATCTCTGAGAGGCCAGCCTGGTCTACATAGAGTTCAGGCCAGCTGGGGCTACAGGATGACCCTGTCTCAAAAGACAAAATGAGGTAGGTGAAGTTGCAAGATTCATTCAGAAAGTTTCAATGTAAAGTTGTTCGACTATGGTACTGCATAGAGTGAATGAAGGGGGCTGGAGAGATGGGCAAAAGCACTGGCTGTTCTTGCAGAAGACTTGGATTTGATTACCAGCTCACACGTGGTAGTTAACAACTGTACCTCCAGTTTCAGGGCATCTGACACCCTCTTCTGACCTCTTCAGGCATTGCATGACAGGTGCACTTACATACATATAGGCAATATACTCATATACATAAAATAATAAAATATTAAGAGTGAATGAAAGAAAATAGTATATAGTTGATTTTGAGACAAGGCCTCACTATGTAGCCCTAGCTGACCTGGAACTCATGGAAATCTGCCTGCCTCTACCTCCCTAGTCCTGGGATTAAAAGTATGAGACCAGGTCTCATGCAGCCCAAACTAGTCTGGAACTTGCTATCTTAAGCCAAGGCTGGTCTTGAACTCCTGCCTCTCTAGGTGCTGGAATTCTAGCCATGTGCCACCAAATCTGCCTTGTTGGCTGCATTTAATTCAATACTTTACAAACTCTTCAGTTTTACCTTTACTCTCTAGAGAAAATCACATCTGTTTTAAACAAAACAATTTGTATCTTTAAAAAATTTTTTTATTGTTTTTATGTGTATATTGCCTGCATGTAGGTAAGTGCACCGGTGTCATGCAATGCCAGCAGAGGTTGGAAGAGGCTGTTGGGTCTCCTGGGACTGGAGTTATGGACAGTTGTTAGCTGCCATTTGGGTGCTGGGATTCAAACCTGGGTCTTCTTCAAGAACAACCGCTGAGCCCTCTCTTCAGCCCCAAGTAGCTTATGTTTTTAAAATGCCCACACTAGGTGCTGGAGCGATGGCTCAGCAGTAAAAAGCACTGGCTGCTCTTGCAGAAGAGGGGTTTGAATCCCAGCACCCACATGGTGGCTAACAACTGACCACAACTCCAGTTCCAGGGAAATCCAGTGCTGCCTTCTGATTTCGGGCACTGGACAACATGGGTGCACTTACATACATGCAGGCATAACAACCACTTCTGGAAATTCTCCCAGAGTCAATGATTACAGATTTGCACAGACACTGAACTCCAAGGATACTGCACAGCAGTTCATCACTGATGATATTAAACTCTTTTAAAAATTTTATTTTAGGGGCTGGAGAGATGGCTCAGTGGTTAAGAGAACTGACTGTTCTTGCAGAGAACCCAGGTTCGAGTCCCAGCACCCACATGGCAGCTAACAACTGTCCTTAATTCCAGTCCCAGGGGATCCAACAGCCTCTTCTGACCTCTGCTGGCATTGCACGACACAGGTGCACTTAATGCAGGCAAAACACTAGTACACATAAAAATAATAAAATTTTTTTAAAATTATTTTAGCCGGGTGTGGTGGCGCAGGCCTTTAATCCCAGCACTTGGGAGGCAGAGGCAGAGCGGATCTTTGTGAGTTCGAGGCCAGCCTGGTCTACATAATGAGTTCCAGGACAGCTGGGGCTACAAGGAGACCCTGTCTCAAAAAGACAAAGTAAAATTTATTTTAGAGCAGGGTGTGGTGGCGCAGTCCTTTAGTCCCAGCACTCAAGAGGCAGAGGCAGGCAGATCTCTGTGAGTTCAAGACCAGCCTGGTCTACATAGTGAGTACCAGACCAGCTGGGGCTACAAGACGGCCCTGTCTCAAAAAGCCCAAGAAAAAAAATACACTGGTCTGACTAGAATAACCAAGGTGCTGTAAACATCTGGTCTTGATTTCAGGAGCCCCAGACATTGTGACAGCTCCTTTGTGAAATGAAACGCCTCTGTGAAGCAATCATCTTACCTACACTAATCAAATCTGTATCGGGTGAAGATATGAGAGGTGGGGGTTTGCCCTATCCTCTGTCCGCTATTTCTCATGATACCTGGCCATTTATTCACCAGCAGCAGAGGCCGAAGTTGCTCATCGTTAAGGTGTCTGGCCCTTTCCCAAGTTCGATCAGTTTGCTTTTGCCTAGGGTTGACGTAGCGCCCACGTACTTGCAAACCTCGAGGACAGTACGTGACCAGAGGGCTTTGCGAGTCCTGGAACTAGGCGTGGGGCCAGCAGGGGCGCAGTCCGCCGGGGGCGGGGCGGGGTGGGGCGCGGGGTCAGGGCCCGCCCACCCGCGCCATTTTGCTGGGCCCGGGCGGGGTGCTGGGCAGTGCGGATCGGCTGGGAAGGCGCCACCGGGAATCGGCGCGGCCGGCCCGCCCGCCCGGGACTTACCATTGACGGTTCGGTATCCTGAGGTGGGCAGGGCGCCGAGGGTGACGGGGGGCTCTGTCAGCGCGAAAGGCTTTCCCAGAACCGCCCTCAGATCTCAGCCGGCAAATTCCTCGCCTGGCTCTGTACTGGCTCCGTGCCTCATTCTGAAAAGAAGTCTAAGTCCTTTAGGCTTTTTATTCTGGAAAAAGCAGTAAGTTCGAAAACCTGTGTGTGTCATACGACCCTCCGGGACGTGGGGTTTCTTGGGGTTCTGCAGTGTGCAGGGTAGGCCGCAGTGTCACGGGCAGGAAGGGAGCTCCCTGCGCTTGGCCAAGCTGCCTCCATCCTTCAATGTTTTCTGTCTTCTCTAGGGAACCCAGGACGCCTCGGGAGGACAATGGATTCTGGAGCTCGCCCAGTTGGTGGCAGTGGTAGCGGCCCTGCTTCGCTATCTCGGGAATACAAACTCGTGATGCTGGGTGCCGGTGGTGTGGGCAAGAGTGGTAGGTGACATTTTCCATTTGACAAGATTGAAAAGCACTTAAGGGACCACTACCCAGACCAGATGGGTTACTGACTCTTGTGCAGAGTTGATACTTAAAATGATATATCTAGGTCGCCTTCATGAGAATTTTAACTTTGATTTATTGCTTTGAAGCAATGACCATGCAGTTCATCAGCCACCGATTCCCAGAAGATCATGATCCCACCATTGGTAAGTCAGATCCTCATTTATATTGACGATGCAACCTGTAAAAGTATTCTAGTAGATTTTAAGTTTATTTTGTTGGTTTATTTATTGGCTTTTGGAATCAGGGTCTCCCTGTAGCCCCAGAGGACCTGGAGTGCATTGTGTAGACCTAGTTGGCCTCACAGACATAATCTCATAGACATAACCTCACAGACATAAACCTGCCTCTGCCTCCTGAGTGCTGGAATTAAAGGCATGTGCCACCATGCCCAGTGGATTTTAAGTTTTAAAAATAATATTTAACTATAATTTAAACCTTTTTTTGTATATAATTGAGACTTATTTAGAAACAAGAACAAGGGCTGGAGAGATGGCTCAGCAGTTAAGAGCACTGGTTGTTCTTGCAGAAGACAGAGTTCGAATCCCAGCACCCACATACCATCTCCAGTTCTAGGGGATCTGACACCCTCTTCTGTCCTCCTCAGGTACTGCACGACATGGGTGCACTTAACACACATGCAGGCAATATACTCATACACATAAAATAAAAATTAAAATTAAAAAAAAATGAGAATAAACAATACAGTATTTTTTCTAGAGTTAATTTGTACGTATGCCATCTTTAGTCTCTGGGCTTGGTTGCACATTAATGGGAAAACTTTGTCTTATTTTTTAATGAATGGTAGTGTTGTATTGTCAGATGAAAGGAAAAGTTTAGCCAGGTGTGGTGGTGCAGGTCTGTAACCCCAGAGGCAGGAGGGTCTCTGTGAGATTGACTCTGCCTCAAAAACAATAACCAAATTCCCACAAAAATAAATAAATGAAGGAAAAGTTTAAAGGTCACTTAAAGAAGTCTTTTCTTGCTGTCACTTCTAAGGGTCTGACATGAGACTAGCCCTGTAAGTATGAGTCAGCTGGTTTGAATTTCCAGAAAAGGAAGCAGAAAAACAAGTAGAGCCGGCCTACTGAACTCTTACAACCAAGGCAGATCTTTTGCTTGAAGCCCTCCATTTATTTCCTTATCCTTGCAGTTTGTTACATACTGATGTCTTCTCCTATGTCTTTTGTAGTCTGGGACTCTCAGTTATTGGTAGAGTGCCAGTAATCACTCTTTTTTTTTTCTTTTTTTTTTTTAACTTCTTGGTACTGGGGATTGAAGCCAAGGCCTCAAGCATGCTAGGCAAGGACTCTGTCATATCCCAGACCTGTTTTGTGCTTCTTTTTTTTTTTTTTTTTCCCTGTCTTTTTGAGACAGGGTCTCCCTGTAGCTCCAGTTGGCCTAGAACTCACTATGTAGATCAGGCTGGCCTTAAACTCTCAGAGATCTGCCTGCCTCTGCCTCCCAAGCACTACCACACCTGGCCTGTTTCTTTTTGTTTTTTCTTTTTTTTTCTTTTATGTGTATGCGTGTATTGCCTGCATGTAGATAAGTGCACCCGTGTCATGCAGTGCCCTCAGAGGTCAGAAGAGGCTGTTGGATCCCCTGGGACTGGAGTTACTGACAGTTGTTAGCCACCATGTGGGTGCTGGGATTTGAATCCAGGTCTTCTGCAAGAACAACCAGTGTTCTTAAGCACTGAGCCATCTCTCTAGCCCCTTTTTATTATTTTATTTTATTTTATCTTTTTTTTTTTTTTCTTTGAGACAAGATCTCCCACTAATCTAAGATGGCCTGGAGGACACTGTGAAGCCCATGCTAGTGTCAAGCTCATGACAGTCTTCTCAGCTTAGTCTGGGTTATAGGCATGAGCCACTAGGCCCAGCTCTGTGGTTTGTTTTGTTTTATTTATTAATTGTTATTTTCTACAGATTAAGAACATTATTCATTCCTAAATCATAAGGAAGAAGGATTGATTATTTATTAATTGTTATTTTCTACAGATTAAGAACATTATTCCTAAATCATAAGGAGGCAGGTTTATTTATTAACTGTTATTGTCTACAGATTAAGAACATTATTCATTCCTAAATCATAAGGAAGCAAGTTCGATTCTAAGTGATTATATTGAAGAAAAGTAGGGGGGCTGGAGAGGTGGCTCAGCGATTAAGAACACTGGTTGTTCTTGCAGAAGACCTGAGTTCGAATCCCAGCACCCACATGGCGTAACTCCAGTTCTAGGGGCTCTGACAGCCTCTTCTGTCCTCCGAGGGCATTGCACGACACAGGTGCACTTACCTACATGAGGGAATACACACATACACATAAAATTTTTAAAAATTAAATAAAATACTAAAGAATTTTTTTTAAAAAGAAAAGTAGGGCTGAGGGAGGGCACAAAAGCTCTGCCATTAGCTGGGAATGATGGTGCCCATCTGTAATCCCAGCACTTGAGAAGCAAAGGCAAGAGGAATGTGAATTCACCACCAGTCTGGATTACATAAAGAGTTGTAGGGCCATCTAAGGATGCTTAGTAAGATCCTCTCTTAAAACAAAAACAAAAGCCTACATTCTGTGCATGTGATTATTTTATTTAGTATATGCTTCTGTAGGGTGGGAAAGAATAGAAACAATTTTTTTTTTTTTTTTGTCTTCTTGAGACAGGGTCTCCCTATAGCCCCAGGTGTCTTGAAACTCGCTGTGTATACCAGCCTGGCCTCAAACTCACAAATATCCACCTGCCTCTGCCTCTGAAGTACTGGGATTAAAGGTGTGCGCCACCATGCCTGGCCAGTTCTCTTTTACAAGTTTTTTTCTTTTTCTTATTTATTTTTATTTTATGTGTATAGATGGTTTTTGTGTATGTATGTAAGTGCATCTGTACATGTAATGCCCACAGAAGGTCAGAAGAAGGTGTCAGATCTCCTGGAACTGTAGTTACAGATGGTGGTTAGCCACCAGGTAGATGCTGAGGACTGAACCAAGCTCCTCTGTAAGAGCAGTCAGTGGTCTTAACCACGGAACCATCTCTCCAGCCTCATCCTTCTTTTTCTTTTTAATGAACTATATTGTAGTTTATTTTTGGTGCTAGGGAATCAAGCCCAGGACCTCACAGGCTAAGTACGTGTGATGGTTTGAATGAAAATGTCCCCAATAGACTCCAAGTGTTTGGACATTTTGTCCCCAGATGATGGCGCTGTTTTGGGAGGTTTTGGAAGGTGTGGCTATCCTGGAGGAATAGGCACTGGGGGTGGCTTACAGAGCTCTTAAGCCTTGCCAGATCTCCAGTCGCTCTCTCTTGCTTCCTGTGCCTGCACGATGATGTGAGAGCTTAGCTTCTGCTGCTCCTGTTCCAGCCACCTCCGGCCACCATGCCTCCCTGCCACGATGGATTGTAATTCCCCTGGAACCATAAGCTCAAATAAACTCTTCTATAAATTGCTTAGGTCAGTGTTTCTATCATAGCAACAGAAAAGTGACTAATACAGTATGTATTGTACCACTGAGCTACAGCTCTGCTATATCAGATTTAGAACATTGTTTCAGGGATTCAAACTGTGGTGTGAGGTTCTGGTTGGTAGACCTGCAGGCCTGAGCTTCAGGCTGCCTTCCCATGGTGCCCAATTCGGAGCTCAAACTCAAGTTGTCTTAGCCTTAATGATGTGCTGCTAGAGGGATACTACCTGTGACAGTGGCCGGGAGGGGTTGGCACCTACCCTGTAGCCTGCAGCTGAGTGTCCACCACCAGTGGCCTCCTGCACTGCTGGCCTTTGGGTGTGCTGCTGCACCCACCCAGCTGTTCTGCCTGTGTTTATTGTGGGAGAACTAGCCACACCTAGAGATTGACTGAAAGATGTCTCATCAACTGGGCTGGGAGCCTAGGCTTTGAGAGTTCCTTACTGCAGGCTCTAATGGTCTTTGTCCTGTATGCTCTATGTTGGGACAGTAGATGTGTTCCTTTACCTTTTTTTTTTTTTTCACATCCCTGTACAGGCTTTTAGAACTATCAAAATGGGTAGAATTTTCTTTGATCATATACTGGCTTCTGTTTTCTTGTTCTATCTGATCAATTACACAGAATGTACCTCTGCTTGGTTTACAGGAACCACTGGTAGTTTTTGTTGGTGGTATTTTTAACACAGTAGCCAACTTGGAGTACAGTGAAGTTCACTAGCTCCCACACGGTTTGAGATGTGAGTTGCAAAAACTGCAATAGATACTGGGATGGATCTGTGAGTTTGCCACTGAAGACAGCCAAGTTTGTAAGGAAGGCCATTCTTTTAAAATATATTTTAAAAGCCAGGCGTGTTTGCACATGCCTGTAGTCCCAGCACTTGGGAGGCAGAAGCAGGTGGATCTCTGTGAGTTCAAGGTCAGCCTGGACCACATAGTGAGTTCCAGGACAGCTGGGGCTACAGGGAGACCCTGTTTCAAAAAGACAAAAAAAAAAAATTTAAAAATACACTATGATGTGTGTGGCATTTGTTTTGAACCAATGAAGATACTGAGTGGGTTTTTTTTTTTTTCACTTTTTTGTATTTTCCAAGATTTCTAGTGTAATACATGTAAATGAAGTCAGATGTGATGGCATGTCCCTCTAGTCCTAGCTACTTATTTTCATGTTTGAGGAGCAAGGAGGGAGGGTCTTTGAATAGCTCAGGCTGGTCCTGAACTGATCCTGGTGGCTTTTCCTCCCAAGTCTAGGACTATGTGTAAATACCACCCCAGGTAACTTCTGTCTCTTTAAAGTAATGTAATGTAGCTCTGGTGTGGCACATGTCTGAAATCTTATTTGTTTGAGAGACTGAAGAAAGATGATTGAAAATTTGAAGCTAGCCTGGACAGTTTAAGACCCTTTCTCGAAACTAAAATTTATTTAGGTCTGGGGCAACAGGCCTGTAATAGCCACCTGGGAGGTTGCCACAGGAAGATCACAAATTCAGCAACTGCCTGGTCTACAGACTTGAGTTCAAGGCCAACCTGGCCAACTTAAGGACCTGTCTCAAAACAAGAAGTATTTAATCCCAGCACTCAGGCAGATATCTGTGAAATCAAGATCAGCCTGGTCTACATAGAAAGTTCCAGGTTCCATATCTCAAAAAAAAAAGAGAGAGACTAGAGACTAGCATAGTGGCTCATACTTGCAATCCTAGCACTTGGGAGGCTGAGGCAGGAGGATTGCCACAAGTTAAAGATCAGACTGGGTTACATAATGAGTTTGTGAGTTTCTGGCCAGACTCACCCATGTTGTGAAAGTCCTTCTCAAAACAGAGCAAAACAAGAAAGTAAGAAAGAGCTGGCCAAGTGGCTCAACGCTAGGGCATTTCCCTGTCATGTGAGAGGTCTTAGGCTCAGTCTCAAGCCTAAAAAGAAAAAGTAGTAAAATTAAATTGAATTTGAAAAAAAAGAAAAAAGACTAAGACAGCTTAGTGGTAGGGTTCTTGCATTGCATGCTTAAGGCTCCAGTGTTACAAATAGTAATAATAATAATATGCATTAAAAAATTTCTGGGGCTGGAGAGCTGGCTCAGTGGTTAAGAGCTTATACTGCTCTTAAGGAGTTTGTTTCCTAGCACCCACAACCTACATTGGGTGGCTTATAGCTGTCTATAACTCCAGCTATAAGGGAGACAGTACCCTCTTCTGGACTCCAAGAGTACTTGCACTCACATTTGCAGATAGACACACAATTCAAAATAAATCTTTTTAAAGTTTTTTTTTGTCTTTTTGAGACAGGGTTTCCCTGTAGCCCCAGCTGTCCTAGAACTCACTATGTAGACCAGGCTGGCCTTGGACTCACAAAGATCCACCTGCCTCTGCCTCCCAAGTGCTGGATTAAAGGCGTGTGCTACCACACCCGGCTTAAAGTTTATTTTAATTGAAAGAATTGAAAGAATTATTTAATTGAAATAATTGAAAGAATTATGACATTGTGGACTATGTAGGAAACAGTAAAGAAAATTATGAAAGAAGGCTCAGCAGTGAAGAGTGCTTGCTGCTCTTCCAGAGGGCTGGAGTATGGTTCCCAGCACCCACATTGGGTTGTTCACAACTGCCTATAACTCCAGCTCCAGGGGATCTGACACCTATTCTAGCACATGCATAAAAATCAAATGGATTGCCTTTAATCCCAGCACTCAGGAGGCAGAGGCAGGTGGATCTCTGTGAGTTCGAGGCTGGCCTGGTCTCCATAGCAAATCCAGGCCAGCTAGGGCTACAGGGAGACCCTGTCTCAAAAAGACCAAAAAAAAGGATCTTTAAAAAAAAAAAAAAAAAAAAAGTAGTTAGGTCTGGTGGCACATGCTTTTAGTCCTAGCACTCAGGAGGCCGAGGCAGGTAGATCTCTATGAGTTTGAGGCTAGCCTGGCTTACATGGAGAGCTCCAGGTCAGTGAGAGCTATATCGTGAAGCTCCATCTCAAAAAAAAAAAAAAATGGGGCTGGAGAGATGGCTCAATGGTTAAGAACACTGGTTGTTCTCGAAGAAGACGTGGGTTCAAATCCCAGCACCCACATTGCAGCTAACAGCTGTCGGTAACTCCAGTTACAGGGGATCCGACAGCCTCTTCTGTCCTTCACAGGCATTGTACAACACAGCTCACCTACATGTAAGCAATACACACATACACATAAAATAAAAAAAATAATAATAAAAATAAAATATTAAAAAAAAAAACATCCAGGCACACTGGCCCACACCTTTAGTCCTAGCACTCAGGAGGCAGAAGCAGGTAGATCTCTGTGAATTCAAGGCCAGCCTGGTCTACATAGTGAGTTCCAGGCCAGCTTGGGCTATAGGGAGATTCCATTTCAAAAAGCTGAAAAAATGTAACTGTAGTATATGGTTGCATAAACAGGACTTTGAGACAAGCAGCCCTGGGGTTTAATCTTGGCTCCATCACCAGTTAACTGTCATTTGAAGAAGATACTTAATATTTTAGAAATATACTTTTTTTGTAAAGTGGAACTAATCATAGTTCATTGGATTATTGTGACTATTAGGTGATTTAATATACATAATTATACATAATTATATATTCTATTATAAATTAATATGCTAATTTACATGACTTACATGTAAAAATGTTTTTTTATTTTTTAGTGTGTGCGTGCAGGCATGTATGCCACAGTGCATGTGTGAAAATCAAAAGGAAATTCTGTGGAGTCAGTTCTTCCACCTTTGCATGGGTTCTGGGGGATCAAACTCAGATCAAACATGTTTATCATCTGAGCCATCTTGCTAACCCCTAACCTAATTTTTTTTGACATAGTTTCCCTGTAGTCCCAGCTGGCCTAGAACTCACTATGTAAACCAGTCTGACCTTGAACTCACAGAGATCTGCCCACCTCTGCCTCCCAAGTACTAGTATTAAAGACATGTGTCACCATTCCTAGAGTGGCAGAATATTTTAAAAATAATTCAGAGTCTTTTGTTTGTTTGTTTGGAGACATATGGAGACATAGCCCTAGCTGCGCTGGAACTCACAAAGATCCTCTTGATCTGCCTCCCAAGTATTTAGAATCCTTTTTTCAAAAAAAATTTTTTTTGTTATTTTTGTTTTTATGAGTGTATTGCCTGCATGTATTTAAATGCACCCATGTCTTGCAGTTCACACAGAGGTCAGAAGAGAATGCCAGATCCCCTGGAACTGGGGTTACGAATGGTTGTTAGCTGGAATGGTTATTAGTTGGGTGCTGGGAATCAAACCTGGAACCTCTGCAAGAGCAAACAGTGCTCTTAACCACTGAGCCATCTCTCCAGTCTCTTGGAATCCTTTTATACATTAGAATTCCAGCTTTGAATCAGATGCATGACCAGCTAGATGAACAAAGAGAAACATTCGACCTGTGTATTTTATTGAACTTAGTATGTTTTCTGAGGAAATTTAGGCACATTAAAAAAAACTTGTGGGGGCTGGAGAGACAGCTCAGCAGTTAAGAACACTGGTTGTGCTTGCAGAAGACCTGTGTTTGAATCCCAGCACCCACGTGACAGCTAATAACTGTCTGTAACTCCAGTCCCAGGGGATCCGACAGCCTCTTCTGACCTCCACCGGCATTGTGGGTGCACTTACCTACATGCAGACAATACACACATACACATTAAAAAAAAACAAAGAGCTTGTGGACCCACAAGCTGGATCAGTGAGTAAAGGAATCTGACATATAATCCTGGTGACCTGAGTTTGATCCCCAAAATAAAGGTGAAAGTAAAGAACTGACTCCACAAAGTTGGCCTCCGACCTCCACAGGTTCCCATACACACAATAATGGTAGTTTTAAAAAGTGCTTGGTATCAGCCAGGTGTGGTGGGCATACCTTTAGTCCCAGCACTTGGGAGGCAGAGGCAGGTGGATCTCTTGTGAGATCAAGGCCAGCTGGTCTCAAAAGGACCAAAAAAAGAAAAGAAAAAATTGCTTAGTGAGCTGGGGAGATGGCTCAGTGTTTAAAGTGCTTGCTACACAAGCAGGAGAACCAGACTTCAGATACCCAGAACTGATGTAAATGTGGCTTACCTGTAAATCTAGTCTCTGAAGGCAAAGATGGGATCCCCTGAGCAAGCTGGTTAGTGAGACCAGCTCTGGATTTGATTGAGAGACCTTGGCTCAAAGAGTATCAAATCAAGGAAGATTCCCAGTATCAGCCTTGTACCTCCACACATATGTGCACACACATGCATGTGCACTCTGCCACATACAAGAAGGAGAAAAAGTAAATGAATTTGGGTGGGGGCTGGGAATATACCTCAGTGGTAGAGTGCTTGCCTAACATTTGAGTCCCTGGGTTTCAGGTCCAGCACCCCCCCAAAGAAATTAGATGGAATCAACTTTATTTTAGTTTTATATTCTTTTACTTTTTTACTTTGTGTGTTTTTATAATACACTTTTCTTCCCTGCTGTAGAAGATGCTTATAAGATCCGGATCCGTATTGATGATGAGCCTGCCAATCTGGACATTTTGGATACAGCTGGACAGGTATTAAATCTCAGGATTCTATGAGTAAAGACTTTTTCTCTAGTAAAGCGGGTTTATGCAGAGGATATCACTGGCTTGTCTCTTTTGATTTTCATGCACTCTGACTCAGGATAGCAGGTATGGATATGCTGCTGCTTTAACGTAGCTAGTACGTGTCATTTTCTAAGTTGCATCATTATATCGTGAACCCTTGCTTCCCTCTAGGCGGAGTTTACAGCCATGCGGGATCAGTACATGAGGGCAGGAGAAGGGTTTATCATCTGCTACTCCATCACGGATCGCCGAAGTTTCCATGAAGTTCGGGAGTTTAAACAGCTTATTTATCGAGTTCGACGTACTGATGATACACCTGTGGTTCTTGTGGGAAACAAGTCTGACCTAAAACAGCTAAGACAGGTGAAAAGAGACATGTGTCTGTAATACTATGGATTGTCATTTTTGTTTCTTGGTTTATTCCTTTGCCTTAATATAGAAAATGAAAATATATATTGAAAAAATAGAAATGAAAATTAGGTTCTTCTAGCCTTGGAAATTTCCATATAATTACTAATTTGCTATTATTGTAGGTAAAATCTGGTAGGAATAGGAACTAGTATACAGGACAAAATCCACAGAATTCTAAAACATGGTAAGCTATGTGAGATAACATACCCGTTATCTCAGTACTTAAGAGCCCAAGGCAGGAGGATCACCATGAGTTTGAGGCCAGGTTGGCCTACATAGACCCTGTTTTAATCAATCAGTAAATCAGCAGAAAACATAACATAGAATGCTCATTAAGAATCACAGGCTGTTCATTTCCCAAAAGTTTAGAAATGAAGCTAGGAGGGTGGCTAGTGATGGAGCTCTTGCCTAGCTTACATAAGACCCTGGCTAAGCTTACATAAGACCTAGTACTACAGAGTAAATTTTTAAAATTTAATAAGTGCTAGGGCCAGTGAGATGATTTATCTGGTTAAAGACTATACAAGCCTGGTGACCTAGGTTCAGGGTCCAGAACCCACATAGAGGTAGAGAGAGAGAGAACCAGCTCCACAAAGTTGTCCTTTGACTGCCACAGCTGTGCCATGGTTGCAGGTACTACATGTACATTTGGTACACACTAAATAATAAAACAAAAACTTTGAGTTGGGCGTGGTAGTACGCACGCCTTTAATCCCAGCATTTGGGAGGCAGAGGCAGGTGGATTTCTGTGAGTTTGAGGCCAGCCTGGTCTACAGAGGGAGTTCCAGGCAGCTGGAGCTACAGGGAGACCTGTCTCAAAAAGACCAAAAAAACCCCACTAAAACTTCGAAAATAAATCTGTATACATTGCAATAAGAGAAAGCTAAGACACACTTCATGGCATGATCTGACGGTAATTATGAGCCCAGGAAGAGGAGACTAAGAGAAATTATAAAGCATGTTAGAATAAGTGATACCTGTTAAGTTGGCAGTAATTATGGTTTTTGCTGTTTAGTGGACAGGCTGCAGCATAGGGGAGATGTACACAGTCATGAGTACTAGTCTGAGTAATGAATATAGACCTTTTGGAAGTGCTCAGTTAAGCTACTGTGAAATCTGTTTACAAGATGTTCATGGCCAGGCCACTTATGGTAGTAGAAATGATAATTTCCCTTGTGCTTTTCTCTCTTTCCCTTCCCTTCCCTTCCCTTCCCTTCCCCTCCCTTCCTTCCTTCCTTCCTTCCTTCCTTCCTTCCTTCCTTCCTTCCTTTCTTTCTTTCTTTCTTTCTTTCTTTCTTTCTTTCTTTCTTTCTTTCTTTCTTTCTTCTTTTTTGGTCTTTTTGAGACATGGTCTCTCTGTAGCCCCAGCTGGCCTAGCACTCACTATGTAGACCAGGCTGACCTTGAACTCACAGAGACCTGCCTGCCTCTGCCTCCCAAGTGCTAGAACTAAGCCACCATGCCTGATGTGCTTTTTTTTTCTTAAAAATGAAAGGGATGAAGAAAACTAAGGTTATGATTTGTATCTACATCTTCTTGATACCTGTTCCAGAAGGTTATCTTGAAAGGGCTGGAGAGATAGCTCAGTGGATAAGATGCTGGCTTCGCAATAAAGTGCTTGCAAGAGCATGCTTGTAAGAGGACCTGAGTTCGGTTTCCAGGCACATGTGAAAAAAAAGAAAAAGCCAGATGTACTGGTGTGTCCTTTTAATCTCTGTACTGGAAAGAAGACAGGCAGACTCTGGGCATTTGCTGGCCTCCCTGCTTGGCAAGCTCCAGGCCAGTGAAAGAGAAAAAATAAAGGGAGAGAAAAAAGAAAAGACTGGGTAGACATATAGCTTGAAGCTCTAGGTTCTATGTTTAATAAAACCAGGCATGGTAGTATATATCTGGATCCCAGCACTGGGGAGGTGGAGGCAGAAGGCTTAGAAGTCCAGGGTCATACTTGGCTACACAGTGAGTTTAAGACTGGAGAGAGAGAGAGAGAGAGAGAGAGAGAGAGAGAGAGAGAGAGAAGAGAGAGAGTGAGATCTTGAAATCTTGAAAATAGGTTAGAAATAGAATCAAGTAATTCGAAGTCAGAATACTTAGAAATCATGTAGTGCAATCACCCCACACTGCACAATGGCCTGTATGCTCTGCCACCCCCCCCACCCCCCCACCCCCGCCAAGGTTCCGGAGCTGTTTTCTTGCTAAAGAAGTTCATTCACTCTTCTTGACAGTTGTAATTGTTTCCCACTATACAACTGTAAATTTTCTCATGTTTATACCTTCAAAGGTCTCCAAGGAAGAAGGATTGTCTCTGGCTCGAGAATTCAGTTGCCCCTTTTTTGAGACCTCTGCTGCCTACCGTTACTACATTGATGATGTTTTCCATGCTCTTGTACGGGAGATACGTAAGAAAGAAAAGGAGTTAGTATTGGCCATGGAGAAAAAGTCTAAACCCAAAAGCAGTGTGTGGAAGAGGCTAAAATCACCATTCCGGAAGAAGAAAGATTCAGTAACTTGAAGGGAAGATGTGAAGTGTCTACCTGTGAACTGCAGCCTTAATCAAAGCAGTCCAGTAACGTGCAATAGTGAGCAAGCTGTTTGCTCTTTCTCCTGTAGGATGGTTATTTTAAAGGTAACTGTTGAGGGGATGTGTCTACTAGGAGTTTTCAGTGATACGATGTTTAAAGCCCTCTCTCTTAGTTGATTCTGATTTATTAACCTATCAGAGCACTGTCTGCTCTTTAATTGTCACATTAGAATTTGATCTACCATTGTTTTGGTTATGTTGCTGATATAAACTAATTGATGTAAGTTGTTTATACCCAGGAGAGTATTATGCCATGTGTGTTTGACTTAAGTTTACAGAAGGAGTTTTGTGCTGTACTCCCCACCATCCTTCAACTTCAGCTCCTGGTACTGTCTCTCAGAAGGACTTCAGTCTTGCTTATTCACACTGTACATCCTGGAGACAGAACAGAAATTGAGTAGAGAAACCAGTGCTAAAGAGATTTGTACTAAAGTTTAGCAGGTATCTGTGGAGCTGATTCCTGTTGTAGATTATAGAGTGATGAGATTTAGAGAACTACCGCCATATACTTGCCCAAGAAGACCTTGCTCCTAACATGTGCTTGAGAACTGCACATTGACTCCAAGCACTGGGATGGGAAGAAGAGACGGAAAGTGGTAAGATGGCATGAAGAACTCTCTTCGAATGTAACTTTCCTCTTCTTTTCAGGGCCTTTCTTTGCCTTTGAAGGTTAGCACTTTGGGGAGCCATTGCTAGATCTGGCACCAGTCCTAGATAACTAAATTCTTATTTAAACCCTTGGTTTAACTCCTTTGCTGGACTAGACTTGGTGGCTCATCACTGTAATCCTAGTATTTCCAAGGCAGACAGGAGGAGGCCAGCCTGTCCCCCCAAAACAAAACCCTTTGTCAGGCAGCCATACCACACACCTTGTCCCGGTTTTTCCCCACTGGTGTATATACTGTTTTCTAGTGCTTTCTCTTATTCTCATGCCCTTGGAAGAGCTAGGCATGGCAGGATGGTTTTTAAACCTTCATTTTATCCACGGTATTGTCTAAACAGAAGAGACGTCAGCATTCTGATAAGTTGTGTTCTTCTTACCGTCAGTAGTCAGTAGACTCAGGGCTTAAGAGTCTGTGGTAGTTCTGTTTGATGGCTCAGACTCAAAGCTTTAATATTCACATATGTAAAGTATGTTTGTAATCCGAAGATTTCCTCCAAGTTGTCAAAGTTTAGTCTAAGAGAATGCCGTCAGTGCGTGCTTCCTGTCAGTGCTTGGGAGACTAGTCTCAGGAAGAAACAGCTTTAAATATTAGTGGTGAATTCTCTGTTTAAGGATCAGGTTTATTTTGCTGTCTGAACTTGCTATGTGGGGAGTAATTTAGAAGAGCCAAGCCATGCTTCATGTATGGAATAAGTCACTGAAGCTATGTTTGCATGTACTCTCAACTTTGAGAAGATAAATTTGTGTAGCACTTCCTAAACAGCCACTGTTCAATGTTCTATTTCCTATTGTTTAATTGGAAGCAGGAGGGCAGGCTGTTGTGTTTCCTTTGTCAAGTAATGGTCGAAAGTTTAGATTTAACAAAAAGTGACTGCTGGAACTTTTAAAATTCTGAGTAGTATTCTTTTGAAACTCCTGGTAACTTTTGCTAACAATGTTTATAGTACTCAAGCCATCTAAAAATTAAAGACCCAGCTGGGCGTGGTGGTGCACACCTTTAATCCCAGCACTTGGGAAGCAGAGGCAGGTGGATCTCTGAGTTCGAGGCCAGCCCTGGTCTCCTTAGCGAATCCAGGCCAGCTGGGGCTACAGGGAGACCCTGTCTCAAAAAGACCCCCCCCACCAAAAAAAATTAAAGACCCTAAACTTGAGTCTGTGCAAGACAAAAATCTTATAGAAGCCATAGCACTTTGGAGAAGCAGGAGAGTAGAAAAGAAGTATAGTATAATTCTGTCACAACAATCTTTCACCCACTTAACCAGTGCAAAGACTTTCAAATTTAATGCCTACGCTGTTACTACTAATGACATGGGATTATCATTAGTATCAAGGAAGGAACTGACCGATCTACAGTGTCAAGGCTGTCAAGACAATAGAAAACATTGCCGGGAAGAAGTATAAGACAGAAGGGAATTTGTATTGTCTACAAGAAAAACAACAAATGAGGTTTTTTTAAGGCTATCACTGTCATATATTTGATCCTTGGGTAAACTAGTCCCTTAATTAGTGAGACTTCTATTCATGGTGCTAGATAGTTTCAGGGGTATAAGTTACAGCTCTTCTTAGTAATTGTAAAGTATAGCTAATTTATGAGCTCTAAATAATCAGTATTATCCAATTTGAAGGCATTAAAATTAATTACTGCCTGGAACTTTGAAGAGAGAAAATTCAGGGACAAGTTGAAAGGCACTGGAACTATTTGTGTGGAAATTAGATTAGCACATTGAAGACTGAGAAACTAGTTGTCTGGGAGTACCTGTTTATAGTCATCAGGGGCCATACGTTTTAACTTTGTGAAATATTAGAATGTCCTGTGATACTTGGGAAGAAGTTTTTCACTTATGCACTTGTATATGAAGACAGTTTGTACAACACAATACAAAATTTTTAAATAATTTATTGTTGTTAATTGACTTACAAGTGGTAGAAATGTTTGGAGTTTGAGAAAAAAAGGACATCTTTTTTATTGATTTATTATTAGTGTGTGGGTGAGTGTGTTCCATGAGACATGTGGAGGTCAGATGACAATCTCCAAAGGTCAGTTCTTCTTCTACCATGGCTTCTGGGTATTGAGCTCAGATCCTTAGACTTGCAGCAAGCACTTTCACCTGCTCAGTCATACTGCTGGTACATATTTACCGTTTTTGTTTTGTTTTATTTTGTTTGATCTTTTTGAGATGCCCCAGCTATAGCCCCAGCTGTAGCCTGGAACTCACTATGTAGACCAGTCTGGCTTTGAACACAAGCACAGTGGCCAGCCAGTGTATCCTGCCCTTGACAGAGTCCATGGGGCCTTCATGAGGTCCCTTCCTTGTCAGAGAATCTGGATCCTGACTCCTGGGGAGTCCTTGGCGTCCCAGCCAAGAACCTGGCCTGTGCTTTAGCCAGAACATATCTCTATACCTTTCACCTGAAGTAATCCCACAGTCCAGGGGAGATGGTTCAGTGGGTAAAGACACTTCCTGACAACCTGAGTGTGATCACATGGGCCCACCAGACTACTGAAAATTGTCCTCTGGCTTCCACCTATGTCATGTACCCGGTCCCCACAAAGTAACTAAACAAATGTAATAAAAATATTTTAAAGTCAGCCAGGCATGGTGGCACACACCTTTAGTCCCAGCACTTGGGAGGCAGAG